GTTAAGTCTTGTATAGACTTTTGTATAGAATCTGTCAAGTTATAGTCATTATACTATAGTTGAGCAGCTTCTGTTATTACTATAGTTAAAGAAAAAACTACAAGTTAACAATATAAAATCTATTTTCTTATTTCTGTCTTTTAATATTTTTATTTAATTAATCTTTAATATCTATATATTGTATTTATATATCATATATTAGTTGTATATTTCTTTACTTACTTGTGTTACTAACATATTTCACTAAACTATTTGGCTTTCTTTTCTTTATATAGCAGCTTTTAAGGCTTTTGAGTTGTCTCTATATTATCAAGTTTTTATCTTTTATATTTATAAATTAGTCAGATATAATTACTCTAAATTATTTATTGTACTACTGTTTGTTATTTATATATTTGTTTTAATTAAGTCTTTTATTCTTTTTTTATAACTATATACCTTTTATAAATAATTTTTTGTTTTGATACTTATTTTTATTTTTTTTTGTTTTAGGTATTGTTTAACAGACTAAATTATTCTTTCAATATTTTCTTTTAGTTTTTCTTTAGAAATTCAAATGTCCTTATTAATCCTATCTTTTGGCATCTTTAAGCTATTCTAAGTTTTATTAGTTTATCTAAACAATCTTTTTTGTTAAGTCTTATAAATAAATTACTTATTTGTTTTGTTGTTATTTTTTAACTTAGTGGTTTACAGTTTCCTAGATCTTTATACTCTATTATACAATTTTTTAAAATTTTTATTATATTATATTTATGTTTTATCAAATATATTATTAGTTGATGTATTTTGTTAATTATTTTTTTTAATATTATTAAAAAAAATTTAAAAGTAAAGATGGTAATTCTAGTGTAGTAGTTGGGTTGTCATTCTCTAAGCAGTAGATTCAGAGTTCAAATCTCACTGGTAATAAAAATTTAAAAAATGGTTCTATTTTGGCAACTTGTATAGAGTATCTAGGATTGTAACTTTGTAATTCTAATTGTATCAAGACTAATTTTAAAAGTATGCAATATCATATAAATTAATTTGAAACATATATATTTTATAAGAAGCCTTATTTAAAAATTCCAAATAAAGAGGTAGTATAATCTTTGATAGTACTATTTGTAAAAATCTTGATCTGAAAACAGAAATTTGAGGCAGATAATCTATACAGACAAGAATTTTAAATAAAAAGGTCTACCAACCTGACTATCAATTAAACTAGATATAATGTTATATTATACAAAACTAACTAGATTGATGGTATAAAAAAACTTGCAACAATATACAAATACTAATAAGATTGTAAAAAAAAATACTAGTATTATATAAACTTTATAAGAGTGTAACAGTTTAAAGGTTACTTTAACTGCAAGTGTTGGTTTCAAATATAGCAATACCAAGTTAGCTAAAAATTAGATAACAAAAGGCTCTAATGAGTTTAGTATAAAATTAAAAGTTTCTTATATGAGTAAACTACTTTAAAAACCTAATAATTATAGTATATTTGCATTAGTGAAAAATAAGGCAGTTGATAAGTTAAATAGATGAATAAATACAAGAACCAAAGTATTTAAATAAAGAACTCACAAGCAGATTCTAAGTATAGCAGCTAGTATAGAACCTTTAGGCAAACTACTTAAATTAGACAATAACTAAAATTGTATAAGTGGCTAGTTGTACATTCTTCTTATAATTGCTCTATATAGCTTTTTAATATAATCACAAAGCTAAAACATACTATTAATAAAAGTCTAAGTTACAAATACTCATCTTTAATATTAAAAAAGATAAAAAATTTAAAAATAATATATATTATTAATAATTTTCAAATTAGTATTAATATATAAAATCTTTGTCGAGGATGGCAATCCTAGTATAGTGGTTGGGTTGTTATTCTCCAAGTGGCAGGTCTAAGGTTCAAATCCCACCTATGACAAAATTTGGAAATTATATCTGTGATATAGAAACTGTCTTCTGTCGATCAGTTGGCCTCATGTGGCTATAACCCAGGTACACCAAGTCAGGGTCCTACCGACATTGGGAGCTTGGGGCATTTATGTGAAGTGTAACATTACATGGTACATGTATATAGAGAAATATTAATAACTGATGTTGCATAAGACTTCAGTGCAAATCTACCAGGTGTAGAAGACTAAGGAACTGAGAAGACAGAATCCACTTGGAAATTCCCAAGTAAAGTGGTAGCATAAACTTTCAACAGTGCTGTCGGACTGATAGAAGCCCACAAAACACCTTTATAGAAACCGAAAATTAAAACCAGATATCAAGATATATAGAGGAGCACATGACCAACCAGGCCGCCAGATTCACTGAAGGAAAAGGATACTAAGGTATATCATACCAAACCATCTGGATTGGTAGTCTGGAATAAAACTGACAGTTCTGAGTTGTAGCTAGTAGAGGATGATAAAGAAGATATCGGAAAGATAGGTACTGGGGTTTGGGTAAACTTTACAAGAGTAAAAATAGTGTAATATAGTGGTTTAAGATTAGCCCTAACTGCAAGTGTTAGGTAACTATAGCGTATTATATAAAACTAGATTAGCTGTGTATAAGACACAGAAGGCTCTAGTAACGATGCTTCTGAGAATACATTGTATAAAATAAGGTATAGGGTCCTAAGGATACAGGTAAGCATCTAGACCTTCTCGACTAACTTACATAGTGGAGATAATCTAGTGATACAGTAAGGGTTGCAGTACAGAGGGTTTAAATAGGCAACACCCCTAGTTGGATTACAGATATAGCAGCTAGTATAGAACCATCGGCAGACTACCTAATTAGATACCAAAAGTGTACATGTAACTAGTTGTACTCTCTAATGTAAGGTGACTCCTTTGAGACCTTGACCGTGAGTCCCTATATCCTGACTATTCTGAATAAAAAGCTTCAGCTCCAAAAGAAGCTAGTTTAACATAAAAAAAAATAAAATAAAATCTTTGTCAAGTAATATTATTTTTTTTTGGTATTAAGGTAACCTCTTTGGTCATTTGCTGTTTATTAACAACTTTTGATAATATGATTCTATAAACTACTACAGAAGAATGTACAATTGGCTATATATGTAACTTTTCTATATTACTTATTTAAGAAGTTCACTTAAAAATTCTTTACTAATTGTTATATTTAACATTTTTGCTTAAGTGTTCTACTTTAAACTCTCTGAATTTGTAACCTGTATTAACTTACTAGTTTATACTCAGATTATTGTCTCAATCTTAGAATTATTTTATTCTTAAAATAAACCTTTTAGAGTATAGGTTGAATGAATAAATAAAAGGTGAATAATAGGTAAATAATAATAAAAAAATCTGCCATTATTTTACCTTATATCTGCCAAATAATAGCAGCATAATAGCAGCATAATAGCAGAATAATAATAAAATAACAGAAGGTTTGTCAATATAAGTAATATAATAGTAATATGTATAATAGTAAAATAATAAAACTGTTCTATTATTTTGTTATTATATTACTATTATGTTACTTATATTGACAAATCTCCTATTATTTTATTATTATTTTGCTATTATGCTGCTATTATACTGCCATTATTTGGTGGATATAGAGTAGAATAATGACAGATTTTTTTTCTATTATTTAGCTATTATTTATTTTTTATTTATTTATTCAACCTGTAAAGCCTTCTGTATCTATTTTTATAGCTAATTTAGATAATACTATGACAGAACTAATACTTGTAATCAGGGCTTAACTATTAAATTGCTATGCTTTTGTAAAGTTTACTTAGATCTTAGCATCTACTTCACAGCATATTCTTAGTAGTTTAGTATACTTCTAAATTTTATTAAATTCCTAATTCAGATAGTTTATATAGAACTATGATCAGTTTATCAGTATATTAAATCAGTTTAATATCCTTTTCCTCTAGTTTGTTCTGATGGTCTAATTAGTAATATCTTCAAGACTTCCAACTTAGAAGTTCTTGTCTGTCTAGTTACTAAGACTTTGGTATTTATTTCTAATAGTCTAGCCTTTACAATAGCATTATCAAAGATCTGGCTAGCTCTCTACTTAGGTCTTTTTAAATAGATTTCTTGTTACTTAATTTCAATGAATTTATATAGTCACAAGGCAAACCAAGTTTAGCCAATATTCATTTGATTTGCACCTAACCTTGAACCAATTCAAAATAACCTCAAATATGATAAAAAGTTGCATTATTTATGTATATCAAAATTTGAAAAAGTATAAAAGAAAGGTTTTTTTTTTTCTTACCTTTTTTTTATTTTTTTTATTTATTTGCTTTGTTAATAAATTTGCTCTATAATGAACAATTATGAGGCTGAAGGCATCATTATATCAAAACAATATGATGTTAAAGATATTCAAAATTCCAAAAAACAGGCTGTGCTTCTTGATATCATCTCCACAGTTATGCCAATTCTTTTAACTAAATATTTAAACCTGTTGGCTTTAGATTCTACTAGTCATTGTAATAGCTTAAACTTTCCAAATACAGCTTTCATAGTTAGGTCAGATGAATTTTATAATTGAGTTATAACAATATTTATAAGTAATAAGGAAACAATACTGGTTGTTGATCTTATGTTTGAGTCAGTAAGTGTTCTGTGTTTTCTGATAAATTTAGCTAGAAATTCTATAACTTTAGTTGTTTAAAGTTTATACAATATAGTATCGAGAATGATATCTAATTAAATTCTAAGTGTTTAGCTATAAACAAATGAAATCCTTATCTAGCAACAGCTAGAAAACATTTTTCTAATATGCAAGTAGTTTTGTGCAACTGGCATGAAAGTAAATTTTTATAAATTGTTATTGTGAGCTGTTGGTGTTGTTAAATTATTGATTTTGTATACCAATTTTGGACACTCATTAAGAACATATCTACTTTTAAAATACTTGTTAATTGATATTTATTATTTGAGTAAATACATTCTTGATGGGTGTTCAAAATCAGTATACAAAATCGAGATTCATGCATGTCAACAAAATTTTGTTTGTGCCAACAACTCTACTTTTTACAAATTTTTTTCATGGTTTTTGCAATATTATTTTTTTAGCTGATGCACTTAAGGAGTAGTTTACAAAAAATTTAAATAATCAATAGTTTAAAGATCAAGTATTCTATTAATTTCAATTTGTTAAACAGTCCCAAAATCAAGAAGAATTTGTTCAATGAAAGGCTACTATTTTAGATGTGAAAAAGCTTCAGACTGCCATTGAAATCACAAGCTTAGTAGTTGCAAAGACCATTGCATCTTATTTTCAAAAGTATTAGTTTGGTGATTAGATTGGTTAGTATAAATTGTTTTTTTTTGCATTATACTAATACTATAACAGATATATGACCAAATTACAAATATAATGATTGTTCTATAAAGATAAATATATTATTAGAAAGCTATTTCAAAAAGGATATAATAATATACTATTGAGAAAGATACACCAAATTTCTACATTCAAATCTTGAAAAAATAGGTACATCAATGCACATGGATAGTGAAAAAATTAAAAGATAAATCGAAGATTGTTTTAAAAAAAATTTGGGTAGTGCTCATTTCACTGACAATTACTTTAACAACAGCCTATTTTAACAACAGTCAATTCACTGACAAATTTATTTTATTGACAGTTATTTCACTAACAGTCATTTCACCAACAAAGTAATTCTGGTCATTTTTGTTAGAGTCAGTTGGAATTAGAGTTAATGTTAGTGCAACTTTAAAAAAAACCTAGTTGGTAAAATAGGCTGTTGGTGAAATAGTTGTCAGTGAAATAAACTTGTTGGTAAATTGATTGTTAGTAAAATGGAATGTCGGTGAATTGATTGTCAATGAAATAACACATACCCAAAAAATTTATATAATATAAAATATTCTTTTCTATAAAGGTTTTGGTAGGAAGAAGATAAGCCTTCTATGACCTCAAAATTGCAATGAAAAAGAAAAAAAGCAGACAAAATGTGAGAATTATTATACAGAAAGAATCTTGTTCAAGGTAAATACCTCTGTACTTAATATTTAGATATCAAATTCATACAATATTTTAATTTTTAAAATTTATTATAGGTCTATATATGAAAATAATAAATTACTACCTCTATTATATAGAGCTGTTTACAAATACAAATGTTAACATTTTTTGAATAGTATTCTTATAAGTCTTATTACTAAATATAGCATTTTCTATATATAGTACTTACTTTCTCACAAAATATCCCAGATACTATTTAAGATAATCTGAGGAATTTTTGAATAAGACCAGATATTATAGGCAGCATTATATAACATATCCTTAGTCTTAATAAGTACTGTTAATTTGGATTGTATTACATTTTTATTTGTTATTTATATTTGCAATAATTTATTATTTAAAACCAGAAATTGATCAGGATATTTGGATTATGTCTTGGTTCTATATGAATAGTAATATAAAGTATGATGTTGCTGAAATAAATGTTAATAAAGAGAACTTTCAGTATAATACTACTGAACTAAATATTAATAAAGAAAACTTCTAATGTGATGTCACTGAATTAGATAATGATGAAAACTTAATTGACAAGCATAACATCAAGCAAACCAAAACATTATATGTTATATGTAAAAGTAGAAAATTTGCTTGCCTATGTAGTTTTTATATAATTTGCAGTTATGACTGTCAGAACATCATAGCTGTTTAGTTATTTATTAATAAGTTTGGATTACAAAAGTAAGTATTGTTTGTTTAGTTTTATTACTTCTTTTTATATATTAATATTTCTAACTCCTTTTATTGCAGTAACTTTATTTCTTATAATAAACCAAACTACAATGATAAAAAAAATTTTTGTTTATATAATGCATAAGAATTAATTATTAACAGCATAGAGTAAAGTTCAAGGCACAGGAACATGATCATGCTTTAATTCAAAGAACATTTGTAATAGCATATTTTAACTTAACAGATGCATGCCTAATTTTTTACATACTTGTGCATCAAACCTTAATAGAAAGTAATAATGCACATGATATGATATTAAGGTTGTAATAGATATATGTTATATTAAATTCATATGCTCTTATTAAAGTGATTTGTTCATTTTAGTAGTTAACTATAATGTTCATGTTCATAAGCCCATATTTAACCTAGTAGAGAAACTTAGATTAAATATTTAAAAAGAATTTAATCATATATGAATCTTTTTTATTAGACTGTACTATGGAATAAGGACTTTTGTACTGCAAAATTAATCTAATATTGTACTAAAATAACTTGCTTTTTTCTATATTTTGTATAGATCTGCAGATAAATCAATTGCAAGCAGTTTTCTTGAATCCTATCTTTGCCAAAAAGAAGCTAATAGTTACAAGAAGGATGAGCTCAAACTATCTAAAAAAAGAGGCCCTAAAAATAAAAGAAAAAGTCAATTAGTGCTGAGTGAATCTATTTATCTCCAAGATACAAATATGCCTTACAAAACTGTAAAAATTGTTGAAATTATTGATAAAAGCAGAGTTATTGTAGAGGTTACTTTTGAAAGTGATAATACAGATTGATGTATAGTTTAAATAGCTAATATAATCGAGTATGCCAATGAACAAGCAAAAAAAAAATCAAAGATAGACTGTAATTTTTTTTTTTACTTAGAGATGTCAAGTAGGAGGCATCCAGAATAACCATCCAAAACCTAAATTATATGATTTACACTATAGCTATGACATGTATAATTTCATTAATAGTCTTTATATAGCTGTTTTTTTTGTTAAATAAGCAACAATTAGATACTGTGACTATGACACAAACTTGGGTTTTTGGTAGTCATCTTAAATGCCTTGTCAGAGATCAAGTAATACTATTAAATTTTCATCTTTTGGATAATATATTTTATTAATTAATATTAGATAAAACCTATACTGTCATTTAAGGATTTTTATGATAATATTATTATCTTTACAATATTATATGAAGAAAAGAAAGACATTATATTTAACCTTAATATGCTTGCTAGATACAAGTTTTATGCTTATGCAAAGCACTTTTACTCACCAAAATATTTATAAACAAGCTACTGCTTTTGCATTATCTAATTCAAATTCACATATTCACCTTCTTCTTCAAGTTTTTGATCTAATGAAACAGAAAAAATAGATAGAGGCTAAGTTTCTTTGGATTAAGAATTTGCTAATATATATTGAATTAGCAAAAACTGATAAAATAGATTTATTTAGAGAACTTGCAGAATGGGTTTTCAAACAATTCTTTTATGATTCTTTGAACTGAAATCTTCTTGTTATCAAAAATAAAATAACATATATATGTGATTTGAACTACTGCCCAAAGAAAGCTTTACATTCATCAAATTTTTATGATATTATACTTATATAACTATTTTTTATTTTGTGCCATTTTGGGTTATTAATTTAATCTTTATATTGATTTAATATATAATAATTTTTTTTTTTGTCTAATATTTATATAGAAAATGCAAGCACCCATGTTACAAGAAAGTAACTACTTTAAAACATGTCTTAAAAATTGGCAAGAACCTTGCATTGTCCTATATGGAGCAAAATTCAAAAATATAGATAAAAAAGAATCAATAAACATTCCTAAAAATGCTTTTAAGATTGATAAATATACCTTAATAGAGACTGAGAATGTAAAGTTAAGTGATCTATTTTTTGTTTTTTTATTTACTTCTTTCTAGTTATTAACATTTTTCTAGACATTTATATCTATATGCTGGCAAGGTTAAATTAACAAGATACATTAATCAATGGCCACTCTTGATTCTTGTAATCAATGTTACAGGTATTAGTTTTACTGATGAAGAAATGTATCTTGAAAATAAAGATCTTTTAGAAGAAATTAATTTTCCTTTAGAAGATGTAAATTTAAAGCAAAGGTAAAGTTTGTTATAATATTTATTCTATTTACCAATTTTATAAATGCTTTTTTTGTACTACTTATTTTAGATATCATCTTACAAGAGTTTTCTTTTGTAATAGTAACCACTACATCACAGATATCCATCTTGAGAATGTTAAAAATATAAGATAGTATCAATATGATAGATTAGAAAAAACATATCGCTCAAGACAATGTATATAGAAAATTCATGACCACTTCACAAAAATAACTATGCTATAGATTATATACTTTAAGTAAAGATTTAAAAGATTTTTGTCTTGCATTCTTCATAAGTTATTTAAGCAATAATATATAATTTTAGTGTTTTTGTTAGATGTTATTCTTAAATTCAAAGATAATTTAAATTTGCTAAAGGCAGAAGCAGAAAAAGCAAGATTGAAAAATTTTACTATAGCATTTAAATAAAAAATAGTCATTTTCAAAGATGAAAAAAAGATTTAGAACAGTATTTGAAATCTGTTAAAGTAGTAATTCATTGAATGTTATACATTAATGGCTCAATTATAATCCAAGTATCAGAAAAACTTTTATATAAAATTTAAAATAGGAAATCATGTCTTTAAACTAATCACCTAATGATTATGAGTTCATGATTTAGAAAATAGGAAATCATGTCTTTAAACTAATTGCTTAATGATTATAAATTCATAATTTAGAAAATTTTATCTTTATTATAATATCTTCTTTGTGTTTAATATCTGAACAGATGGTATTCAATAAATTTAATGATTTATTGAATAGTACCAAGAGTACCACAGTTGGTAGCATATGCTAAGTAAATTGATGATATACTGTAAATTTATGCATTATAGTTTTTCTGTGTCATACACATAACTATGTTTTTTTATTTATTATAAATAATACTAAGTCAAAACTGGTTATACCAGAAATAGAGTTTGTACTAAAGTATAGTTTATAGATATCTGAAATGGTGTATCTCTTTTTTATCTGATTGGTTATTATAAACTTGTAACTTCATTTTGTGATTTTTAGATTTTTACTTATAAGCTTTTGCCTATTAACACATGAAAAAAAAAAAAATGTAAATTAGATGTTTGTGATCAGATAATTATTCTTTTTAGCTTATTGAATAATATTAATTTCTTTATTTTTTATTTCAGCTTTTAACCTCATCATATATTTATTAAATTATTCTTGATTTTACCTGTTTTTGTTTGCTGTTCTGATCATATCATTATGTTATATAAAAGCAAAGTAGTTAGTACTAAGACATCTGCATAATTTTATATATTTTTAAGAAAGTTAAATACCATGTTTAGTAACTTTTACAAATGTTGTTTCAAAAAAAAGAGGCTCAGTCTTAATCCTATTGGATAAATTATAATAAATTTTAAATTAATTAGAATTGTATTATAGTTAAAACTCTCTAAATAACTTTTATAATAACTTAACTTTTATAAGAGATACTTGGGTAATAATAAAAAAGTACACTTATGCAGATAAAGTATATATTGTATTTGAGCTAGGATTTAAGAGTGCATTTAGAGAGATTGCATAATTTGAGGCTCATTGCTATAAATATTTAGCCATAATTAAATTTTAATTTAATTTATATACATTAGAATATGCTACAGATTTTATCTAAAAAATGATAAATTTTGTCTAACTGTATTCATTTATTTTAGCTATTCTAAGTTCAATACTTTAAAGATATGTATTTTTTATATATACACTTAAGAATTAAACTATTTATCACTTTACTAACCTACTTACTATTATTGAATGCTTGATTCTTTGCTTTTTACACTAATATATAATCACAAATTACTATACAGCATAGACTAAAAGACCTCTTTTATAATACTCTTTATAATTTTTGAAGACTTAGACTATAAAGTATCCCAAATACTAAGGATGGATTAATTGCACTTGTGAATGTAAAACACCCAGGTACTTAACAAATCAATTATGAATTTGCTAACTAAAATATGATAGAATTAATGTATTATAAATAATTTATTTTAAATACACCTATTGACAAATATTTATTATATTTTCAGTTATATAAAATAAAATAACAACAAAAGTAAATAATTTATTTTAAAAAAACTACATTCATGCAAGAATGCTACATCTATACTATACTAATACTAATTTATCTAAACTGCATATAAAATTTATTTAAATAATATAATTAGTATTCGACCTACTGTATATATAATCTAATCTAAACTTGCAAATAAAACTTATAAAAGTTAAGCAATCAAAAACTTATGATGAAAGCAGTTTTATCTGCAACTTGATTTGAAAATCTACTTTTCATTTCTGGTTTTGCATAACAATATCATGCAGCTATTTATTATAGATATTAATTATTGAAAGTAATCATGTATTATTTAGGAAACTCATAACTAGAGATTAGACCTGGCATAAACTTAAGTACTAGGCATTTACCCATTTGAATAACTCTGTTGGTCTAGCTAATCTGGTTGTCATATAAATAATTGATTAATATTACTAACTTGGTGTCTACTTTTAACATCTAAGCTTCAAAACTATATTATTTATATGTAATTGTGAGTTACAGATTTGCTGCATTATAATAATAAATTATTTATATCCTATAAAGGAAATATTAAAAATCAGGTGATTTTTTAGAAGAAGGAAGGATAAAAAAAGTTGAAATTATATATAAAGAACCTGATTATTTATATATTAAAAGAAAGAAGAGAAAGTAGATTTCTGATAAAAAATAATTAAATGATTAATAACACAGCCCTAAATTTACTAATTAACAGCTGAAAGACTATTTTTGAACCAAAAATTATATATAAATAAAAATAAAACATTATTTTCTTTTATCTGAAAATTACTATATATTGGTACTTTATTTTATTAAATATGCAGATATACTGTTTATCTCTCATTTAATAGTTTTGTTTATATTAATAGATGTTAATAAAGTATTATAAATATCTTTTTAACATTAGATCTGCAAGTTTAAGTAACTCTTAGTATAGTATTATTAGCATTATTGATAGAGATCTTTCTCTAAATGCACCTAAAGAGACTAAACTTCTAATAATATGCATTTAAAAATAATAAGAAAAAGTGCATTAATAAAAGTCTAGTATATATTTTAAACCAAATTTAGAAGTGCACTTAGAGTTTAGAAAGAAAAGAAAGTATATTTAGATAACTATTAATCAAAATTTTCAGTACAAGGTTTAACAAATTTCACCTAGGAAAAAGTAGTTTTTACGAATAAAAAATGAATTTCATCTATATAAAAGCAGTTTTTAGATAGTAAAAGTTGTTTTTAAATTGTAAAAGTGAATTTTACCTTAAACATATCTAGTAAAAAACAGGTTTTACATATTTTAAATAATGAACACAGATTTTATATTGCTATTTTGGGTTTTATCTAATTTAGCTAATCAACACAAGTTTTACTAGCTAGCTATACAGGTTTTATCCTATCTTATAATATTTATATAGTATGATTATATAAAAATATTATAAAATATAATTTAATAATGTAAAATTATATTCAAATTTTATTAATAAAATTTTAAATATTAAGATTAACTATTATAATTTAATACTAATATTAACTATATTTTACTAAATAAATTTACATAGAGTCTCTTACTTTAAACTTATAAAAAAGTAATTTAAATCTCTAAAAATCTTGTAAGAAAGAGTGCCTATTACTAAAAGTAATTTTATACTATATATAAAAAATATATCTAATATTTAAAAACATTATTTATATTAATCATGTTATAGATTAGTCTTTTACTTTTTACCTCAAGTATAAGATCCAGAGCTATTATTATTGAGGCCTACTATTATCAAAGTGCATTAATTATATTTAAAAAGCTTGATTTAAAATAAGAATAGTATTCTTTTAAATTATTATAAAATGTATCTAGTTTTCAAAGACATAAAGCATAGCATTAATTAGCTAGTTTTTAATACATAGGTGTAAAACAAACTAGAACAATTTTTTTTTATAAAAATATAAAAAAAGACTAGAAGAACAAAATTACAGAAATTATTTTTTAATTTATTAAAATTTGATGCTGTTGATAGTGTTTAAAAGCATAAATAGAAGTGCTAGTTTTAGGTATCTCTCAGGATTGTGATTTTTTAGAATCGTAATCTTTTAGGATTATGATCTTTTAAAATTATTTTTTTTTCAAGATTTAGTTTTCAGGACATTATACTTTTAGAATTTTGATCTTTTAGGATTTAGTGTATCAGAATTTAGTATTTTCAGAATTTTGATTTTCAAAACATTGGCCCAAACCCTGATTAAGAATTAATTGTAAAGATTGGTTTGTCGCAACTGAATTGAATAAAAAACTTTGTAAGCTATTTAATTCTTTAATAAATAATTGTAAATGTAATAGTATTAATATGTTTTAATACAATAATAATAACAAAAACTCTTTCCACTGATCTTTAATTTTGTAAGGTCATAAATTAATACACTTTAGTTTGCCCCAAAGTTAATTAAATAAACTGGTCTTGTGTCATTAAGAAAAAAGAAAAGAAATACAAAAATAGCTAGAGTTTAATAGAACAACTTCTGAGAAAAGCTGTTCAATCAAAGAATAAAAAACTTGTTCAAAAATTTTTGGAAAATTATAAACTTGGCTGTAACCCTGTAATTCAGATCGATTGACATATAAACAAAGCACAAAGTAAACAAACATGTAAATTTAGTAAACAAACAAGCAAACAAAGTAGCATATATCTAATTAGGTAATAAGCACAAAACGTGACTGACTAAATAAAGCACAAGCAATAAGAATAGGTATTAGTCAAATAAATAGAAGCTTCTAGAAATAGAATAGTATAGGAAGTTAGACAAACAACTAGAATTAAAATATCAATAGCAAAAATCAACAACTTAAATCAAAAAACATTAACAAAAAAGTATGCATGCTTGAACAAATTAAAAGCTTGCATAGCACAAATAGATATAGATATAGCACAATTTTTAGAGACAAGTGACCCAGTTCAAGTATATATTATAAGAGTCTTAGTAAACAAACACAGAGAAGTGTAGAAAAATCCTTACAAGAAAAAGACTGCAACAATAGAAGAAAGATTTCTAGTAAATCAAAAAGAAGAAATGTACGAAAATATCATACAAGATGTAATATATGACAGTAAAGAGAAAGCACAAACTAAGATAACAAAAATAGAGCTAGAGCTGTCAACAACACAACTAGTAAGTCAAGAAACTTGTATGAAAAGAAAAGATATGATAACAAAAGAAGATACTAAAGGCAAAGACCAAAAGAAAGAAAAAAAGATAAACAACAAAATAGTAGAGCATGAAGACTACCAAAGTAGAGAGTTAATGAAGTAAAAGCACCTGTAACACAACTAGTAATTTAAGAGAGTAGTCTTAAATGAAGGCATTCAGATGA